CAAAAAAAAAAAAAAAAAACACACACACACACACAACAACAACTTGTATGCAGCTTACCTGTAGGCTGTAAAAGACAAGCTTATTTCCATTTTCCATAGACAAATTACAAGCACCAAAAAAGAGTTAAGGAAAAGGTGAAATACCTAGCATTTACATGCACTAAACAGTTGCCAAACATACAAACTACAACTTTTCTTTATTATTATTATTATTTTGTTATTCCATTAATATGAACACTTTTTTACATGTGAGAAGATTTAAACAGAAAGGTCAAGAGAGCTCAGGCCTATGACTTTTACGTGCAATATTTACATTGATTTGCATGTTGTGCTGGAGAGGAAGTTCCTGGTTTCAGAAAAAGAAAAACGGATTCTCTGAGACCCTGAATGGGACATGATATCATTCAGGATTAAATAGATAAAATCTTTCATTACTTGTTTAAGTGTAGCACATGAATTTTAAAGAACAGGAAAGAAATTGACAAGGATCCTAAACTTACCACAAAGAACAGGAGTAACTATCAAATTCCCAATTCCGTTGAGACAGGTTTTAACTGAATCCAATCTGATTTTACATTGTGGAAAAAAAATTGCTTGTTGGTTGAATAGAAGGAGCAACATTTGATATTCCCACATAGACAGATCGTGAGGTTGTGACTCAAATTCCATGTGAGTTGGAATTGTAATTCATGGAGGAAGCCTACATAAGAGATCAAATTTCATCATGCATTTAGAGTTTGATTTGGATATGGGCTCTACTTCACTTACAATTCCAAGATTTGGCTCCTATAAATACTCCACAAGGTTTAGGCTCTTCAAAGACTCAAGATAATAATTAGATCATTGTTATGTACATTAAAAACTTGAGAGAATTAAATCTTGTGAAGACAATTTTAGTTTCTTGGTATAATAAATTCTCTTCTTCTACAAAAATCTTATTTGTTGTGCGATCTATTATTTTTTATATTACCCATATTTTCTTGTTCTTTAATTATTTGGCTGAATTCGCAACAAATTGATATTAGAGCTATTCCGCTTTTAACAAAATGGTTTCAAATCTGGTCCGAATTATAACAAATGGTATTCGAGCTAAAGATTTTTTCGTAAGTACTTAGGTGGTCCAAATTGCCTATTAAAGCGAGGTTGAAGCAAGGTCAATTGTTTCAGGAATGACAACTATGAAATTTGAGATTCCGCTTTTGGATCGTAACAGTAGATTCTATTTATAGCATATCAAGATGTGAACGGTTCTTGCTCAAATGGATCTTGATGATGCTTTGTTGGGGATAGATAAAATGCCTGCAACAATAGCTGTGGAGGAAAAGCAACGAAAGGATCGAAAAGCCTTATTGCAAATACATCTTCATCCTTTTAGTCAAATTTTTTAGGACAGGGTAAAGAAGAAAAGTGCCGATGGGTTGTGGTTGAAATTGGATCAACTATGCATGTAGTTGACCAAAAGGTTGACAAGTTACACCTGAAGTAACAAATGTATTCTCATCGCTCGACGTAAGGTGGATCTTTGAAAAATCATCTATCGATGTTGAAGGAGACCATCACTGACTTGGAGACCATAGAGGCAGAGTATAATGAAGAGAATTTGGGGTTGATATTGTTATGTTCATTGCCGCCTTCATATGTGACTTTTAGAGATACCATTCCCTATAGTCAGGATACTCTTACTATTGATGAAGTATATGGTGTGCCTTATTCTAAGGAGAAGATGAAATATCTGGTCATCGAATCTGAGGCCCAAGTAAAGGGTCTTGTTATTCCTGAGAAGAAGACAAGCGGTCATGGAAGAGGGAGAGTCAACGATAGCAAGAGTGATATAATATGTTGGTATTGCAGCAAAGGACACATAAATAGGGATTGCTATGAGTGGAGGAATAGGTTTGCTACTACGGGTCAAAAGGGACAACTAGGAAATTTTGGTGATACCAATCTTGCAGAAGAAGATTGCAGTGATGGAGATCTTTTGACAATTACTGATGGTGACCTAAACTTGACCACGACTGAATTCTTGATTCGACGTGCACTTTTCATATGTGTCCAAACCAGAATTGATTTTCTTCATATGAAACAGTTATGGAGAGTTCCGTGATGATAGGAAAAAATGAGCCTTGTAAAATAGTTGGGATTGACAATGTCAAAATCAAGATATTTGATAGGACAGTTAGGACACTTGACGAGGTTCGACATGTTCCAGGTATAAACAGGAATGTAATCACTTTGAATACTCTTGATTCAAAATGGAACAGTTATATGTGGAGATGGTATTTTGAAAATTAGCAAGGGCGCTCGGATTGTGTTAAGATGGCGGAAAAAGTTCCCATTATACGTGTTAGAAAGTTTGACGGTCACTGTGGATGCAGTTGCAACTTATGGTTTGATAAGTGGTGACTTGGAGTCAGTTGTGATCAAGTTATTTGTGGTGATTTGAGCAATAATATTGAGGAATCTTCCAATAGCTCAGGTGGAGCTAGTTGTGATCTTGTTGACCAAGTTGATCACAGTGATTTGAGCAAGTTAGACAACTCACATGGAGTTGGAAGTGCTCATCGTGATTAGAGCAATCTTGATGACTCAGTTGAACAAGATGATTCAAGCAAGGTTGAAGAGCAAGGTAGTTCTGCTGGTAAGCAGGGTTTGGATTTAGTTTACAGATGTTGAATATGCCCAGCAAGGCATGTGGTGCTCGGAAAGGGCATGGTGAAAAAGTTGAAGAATGACTCGAAGATTGAAGACTTAATTCCTTGCTATAGAATTTGTGTCAAGGTGGAGTTTGTTAGGTTATGACTCGAATTCCATGTGATTTGGAATTGTTGTTCATGGAGGAAGCCTATATAATTTTGGTTTAGAAGTCCGGATAAATAAGGGATCAAATTTCATCATGCATCGAGTGTTTGATTTGGATAAAGACTTCATGATTAAGAACTCTACTTCATCCATAACTCCAAGACTTGACTACTATGAATACTCCACGGGGTGAAGGCTCTTCAAAGACTTAAGATAACAATTTGATCATTGTTGTGTAAATTAGAAATTTGATAGAATTGTTTAGATTTAGATCAAGATAATTAAATCTTGTGAATACAATTTTAGTTTCATGGTATAATAAATTCTCCTCTTCTTTCACAAAAATCTTGTTTGTTATGTTATCCATTATTTTTCATATTGTCCATATTTTCTTGTTCTTTGATTATTTGGCTAGATTCTCAATAAAATGGTATCAGAGTTGTTTCGCTTTCAATAAAGTGGTTTTAAATCTGGTCCGAATTATAACACACATCAATAAGTTAAGTATTCTAGAGTGTATTCTTCAAATATTCTCCAAATGAGAAATTACATTACTGTGTGACCATATTAAGATTTTAAAACTGGAGCATAATTGCTAGGATCCCCAAAAAATTATTTGAGCAGGATGATCGTACGTTGCTAATTATTCTTCCTTTACTGTGATTGATTTTTTAAGCAAGAAAACCAGATGTGCTTCACGTCATCAATTCGATTCCTGATCACATGCTGTAGATACATTTTTCCCCACTGAAAGTACTCAATCTTAACATGAGCACCTATAAAAAGCTTATCTCATAAAAAATTCTAATAAACCATCTGCCATATAGTTGGCTATAAAAAACAAACTTCTCAATGTATGAAAATTTCCACAATGTCATGCTCACGTCTGCGAATTTCTTCATTATTACATGGTTCCCATTGAAAATGTTGAAGATGAAAGAATGAAGGAAAGAGGCAAAGAAAGATAGTCCACTCGACGAATAACAAAATAAGGGAATTTTTACATAGAAATTAGTATGATGAAAGCTTTAGAGCTTCTAGAAGAAGAAAGTACCTTGTCGTGGAGCAGAGCTCCCCCAGTTCCTGAATATTGCAATTATAGATGCCAAGAGTTCTCAAAACCATTAGAACACAAGCAAGGCCACAGTCCCATGTGCGTAGTTGGTTTATATGAGGCACCTAAAATCATAAATATACTGCAGTTGATTCAGAAAGAATCAAAGTATATACAACAAAATCCAACATAATACTTCCAGTATTGCAGCTGTATGTGAGCACAGCAGCACCTGGTGAAATAACGATTAAATAACAAGGCTACTGGTATAAAAATAAGACTTACTTCAATGAAACAGGACAAAACTGAACCATATCTTTCATCTTTTCTTGGTGACTGTTTGATTTGGTAGTGTTCAATGATTTCCAAATTATTTCCAGCTGATCCTTCATTATTTCTTTCATCTAATTTCAGAAATTTGTTTGCAAGAAGATACAAAGACCACATCTCGTGTAGTATATTAATTATTTTAGTCCGGGATGGTGCAAAAAACTTCAAATGCTCGTGCAATAACAGAAGATCCTCTTCTCCTTCAGATCCAAGAAATGTATTTGTTTACTTGTACTGGGTCGCAACTACAACAGATCCCACACATTCAGGCTGTGATTGAGAGAGAATCAACAATGCTATGGCACCGAACGTTGATCCTGGCAATGAAAATTGACCACATCACTTAAGATTTTGACCTGGTTGAACTCTGTTCCTATACTTCACAAACTACAATCCCCAAAAATGAATTAAAAGAAAAGTGCCAATATGTTTATGAAGAGCATGCTCGAGATTACATAGAGAGAACCAACACGAAAAACCCCTGCAGAGGTTTATACATGCATCTAGGTACGTATGTATTCAATTGTTCATACATTTTCCATAAAGTTTAGCCGGCAGATGATCCGCAGGTCTTAGTTGATATTGGTAAAGGAGTTAACCCTATTTAATCTATTACAAAGAACTCAAAATAACCAATATTCAAAATCATTGCTCATTGTATCCTCCGATTATTTTAATTTTGCATTAGATTTGTTCTTTTTTAGGATATCCTCATTGCAATCATACAAATCCTTCACCATATTATTATTATTATTTTTAAAAGAAGACTGGGTTTTTATAGAGAGATTACTCGAGAAAATGGTCATAGAAGAACAATTATAACGTCAAAATCACCAGCCAACAACAAATGGATAATCAGAATAGACTCTACAAACAGAATCAAATCATAAAACGTATATAGGTAAGCCACAACCCATAGAAATAAGGTCAAGATAGTTTGCAATATTTTATAGCAGTCTTACACGATCACCAGAAAAATCGAAATAGCATTTTGCGAGGGAACAAAAGAAGGTACCTTTTGAGATTTGATAGAACGATGGAGGAAAAAGGCGTTGGAATCAAATTTGCCCTTTTGCTGACATTCTATCTTTGGGTGTTTCTAAAGAAACGTTTTTACAGTGCTGGGGCGAGGGTCCCATGTTCTTGTCTCCACTCACAGCAGTCCTTGTTAGATAAGGATTAAGGATTTTTATACTTCCTCAACCCGTTTGATTCTCCTTTTTTCTTAGCATGAAATTAAAAAATATAATTGTTATGTGATCCACACAACAAGACATAAAAAGTGTGGATTGATGTGACGAATAATGATTATATTTTTTATTTTTGTGGCCAAACTATGAAAATCAAATGGGCGGAATGAATTCTATTCTTCTTGTTTATTCTTAACAGTTGACTATTTCAGTATCAGTAAATGAAAATAATAAAGCACATTTACTGCAAAAGACTTCTTTTGTCCCTACTTTCTCCCTTTCTACCTCTTTCGACGACTATTCAAATCACACACATTGGTATTGGCAAATTTAGATAAAAATTAATTTTTAGTAAATCTCGATAAAAAGTGATAAAATGTGTGATTAAAAAGTTCTGAATCTCATTAAAATTTGTGCTTTTAATTAATTATTGACTTTGACTTAAAAATTTAATCCATATATTTAGCAGAACTAATGCATTAGCCTTGTTTGAAAATGATTTTTTTTTTTTAAATTAGTTTTTCATCACACTCATTTTCAAGTGTGTGCCGAATTTTAAAAAACAAGAATTCAAACTACCGATTAAGTACAAATTTAATTATTATGTCATAATATTCGATAAATTCAATGATATTTATCTTTGACTTATCACATTGACAGATTGGTTAACACGAAAAACGCTTACCATCTAAATCACAACACTCTTAGACCGGTGTACAACTTAAAAAATGAGAAATCCCAAGTAACCAACGAGAATTTAGAAGACATTATAAGACTGTAGCCCGTCCGTAAATTCTATCAAGCGCATATCCTCAAGAAAATCCTACTCATAATAGCTCATCTCTATGTATCATTAAGGACTTTTACCAACTGTGATTAAATACAAATCCAATGGTTAACATAAATATTATTCTTAAGTAAGATATAACAAATTACTCATACAACACTAGATCACTTAGTTTGTGTTGCAATTTTTCCCTACAAATTATATAAAACGTAAACAAATAATATAATAATGATTGGCGCATTGTCTCACGAGAATTGATTATTGACGCATTTTAATTAAAATTAACCGTAAAAAGAATACATATTTAAGAGTTTTGTTTTGAGTTTTCCTAATTAACAATTAAAGTAGACAAACTAATAATAATGGAAAGAATGAACAAAGAGGTAGAAATTAATTAAAAATAATAATTAAGAGTTTCGATTTCACTACTTAACTATACTCATATTCAACTCATATTTTGGTTCAATTGTTGTGTTGTCTATTATTAAATTAAAGATTAAAAAAAAAAAAAAAGAGGTTGTCTCTCAAGTACTAGTTAACTATCACTAAATATCAAATTTGTCTCTCGATTAATAGTTTGATAAAAGTTATACATATGAACTTATGATAGCTGCATGAACATTTATAAAAATTTCAATTTAATAACAAATTCATGAAAAGCAATTGTTGACCTCCAAAAATGGCTCCTCCACGTGGTCAACTTATAGCTACTCCACGTATTCCTCCATGCGTAATGAACAAACGGTCAGACGCACACGACCGGGACCGACAGGGGTGGCGGCGGCCGTATACACTCCGACGGTCAAGTCAGATTTGGGTGGTCGGAACAGTGCCCAAGGGCTACACAAATCAATCAATAAAAGGGGGGGGGGGAGGAGGATATATAAACTTGTTATGGAATGCTATGTATTGAGAGTTTCATTATTTTTGCCTCTTGCCAAGCCTTGGGTATTTATAGGTGGTATGAACCGCGGGATGTGAGACGCGTGTATACATCTGACGGTATGAAGTGTCTGCTCATAGGCGTCAATCAGCCGCGCTTGTAGAGTGGGCGGACAGTTTGTTTCCCCCGAGTTGAATTGACATAAAATTGATAAGTCACATCAAATAGCTTTATGGGGGACGTCAAATCAATTTAAACCTTATATGCAGAGCAAATCTTAAATTGGCAGCGAATCTTCTAATGGGGGTTCAAGCCACTTGAACCCGACCTCGGAGACGGGACACTTCGACAGATCAGTGACAGGAATCGGTGTATCACTTTGGAGAGGCTTCGGGAGGTCGAAGTGGTCTATTTGATTTCATCGGCTTCGGAGTGGCGAGATGACACTTCGGTACTTCGGTACCGAGGCTCATAAAATGAGGCGTAACAGTGGTCCCCCAAATCCGAGAATGA